CAGAGGAAAAGGGAGTTCTGAGCAAGGAAAAGACGATGGGGGCACCACAGGAAGGGTTCTAAAAGAAGACCAGGATGATAGGGGGAGCAGTGGGGTTATGTCTACTAAATTCTCAAAACTTTGAAGCTATCTTCCACTCCTATTATTTTCCTCATTCCCACAAAGAAGTAGTTAGAAAACAGGTAAGGCCTTTTATAGGAGACAATTCTGATGTAACATTTGTTTAAGAACAAGGCCAACAAGATAATTTGTTACCTGTCTATGCCAGGCATCATCAATGAGAAACACAATGTCAATGCTTTTAGTGGTAACATGGATGACCTCAACCATGAAGAAACACTCAGAACACATACTGCTAACATCCCGTGACCTGAGTTACATACCCATTTGCACGAAAATTCCAGGCAGCTTCAACAACTACTTCACAACAGCACAAGCTACATCTCTTCAGAGGCTTTTTCACAAGCAAATTACAGATTTTTTTTTCAAAGAAAAGTTTCACGTTCACTATTTGTATATTTATCTACTCCCAACATTTATGGAAATTGTTCAACCTACCTTTAAAAAGTAAAACTCTTGCCCTTTAAAAATGTGTCATCGATTACGTTTCTCAGTGTTATGCTATTAACCTCACTTATCCATAAACTGATTTTTATTGAATAATTTCACATAGTACAGTGATTTTTAGGGATGTATATGTCACACTACAGCACAACCGACAAGGTCTTAAGCACCACTTTAGAAAAAAGTAATTTAAAGGGACACTAACATCTGAATTTCAGTCTCAGGAGCACTCACTTTCTCTATGGGGTAGACAGCGATCACAGAGGTGTCAGCTTATATAGCCGTGTGACAAATACCTGTAAGCCAGTACAGTGAACAACAGGACCAACAGCAGAAACGCTCGTGCTTTCAGAAGCCTAGCAGAAGGCAACCAGGTACTTGAAATTCAAAGTCTGTGGTCACATTTCCTAACATTCTCATTCCCCACACAGCTGCTACAATGGGTGTAGCATTCCTCACAACGGCAGTTGTGAGAGAGAGAGATTATAAAGTACACTGCTGATTAGCCATGTTGGTAAGAAGAAAAGAAAAGACTAAAACTTTATCAAAAGTATGTGGGATTGTTAGATCTTTCCGGAAACATCAAGGTTTCATGTTTGTAACTATTAAATCTCTTATTACTGAAATTATTCAGAAAAATTAGCTGTCACTGCAAACCAGAAACTCAGTTACAATTCTTTCTCCTCCCACTGTTTTTACAACAAGCTTTTAAATAAGGGGGTGATTCTTTGGGAAAGCACTCATGCTTTATAAAAAGAGACAGACTCATTAGTATTAATGTTAGAAAGCCTTTAAATTCCTCCTTTGCAATCTTTTTTTTTTTTGTATCAGTGAATTAAAACTATTTTCCCTTACTGAATAAATCAGACTCTCCAGGGCTGTGGCAGAATGCCTGACACAAACAACTTAAGGAGGTAGGATGTATTTTGCTTTCAGTACTCCAGGCCTTCATGCAGGGAGTGGTAGGGCAGCTCACCTCATGGAAGAAGGAAAAGGAAGCCTGTGCTTGGAAACCACCCGCAACCCTCCACTTTTATTCTGCCAGATTCCTAGTCCAAGAGATTGTCTTCCCCTAGTCAGTCTTTTCTAGAAACATCTCACAGACATAACTGGGGATGTGAATCACTTATCTCCCAGTCCTTCTATATCAAAAACTAACCATCTCATTTCCTGCATAATTTTATACATACATGTGTTTTAATTTTAGTTTCTGGAGACAGGGTCTCACTGTGTAGCCCTGGCTGGCCTGAAACTCCAGATATCTACCTGCCTATGCCTCCTGAGTTTGGGATTAAAGGTGTATGCCACCATGCCTAGCCCAATGGCTTATATTTTTCAAAGTTTCCCCTCTAATTTGACTCTCACAAACTTGGGGGCAGTGTCTAACAAGCAGACCTATATAGTGGAAGGCTTTTAGCTACTACCAGTAAAATGCGAGTTGATTTAGAGGTTACAAGTTGAGTTCTACCCTAGAGACAGAAACTTGGTAAAACAACAACAACAACAACAACCACAACCACCAGTCAGTATTTCAGTCTTGTATTTCCTTTGTTAAAGAGAGACAGAGACAGCAAGCCAGTGCTATAACTCATCTGGAGTTTGCATCAATGTTCTTAAGAAAACTGTCTTATCAAGTAGCCCAAACAACTACCAACTCATCAATTATTACCATGAGTCTTAGTCATAAGAACCTTCATTTCTCATAAGGTAACCAAAGTCATCATACCACCTACTATTAATGCTCTGGCTTAATTCTTTAGTATGTTAGTAACAAAAGTTGGTTATAATCTAAGTACCATGTGTTAAGGCTATTGTATAAAATTGGCCATTATCACTTCTTTATAACTAAAGGCTTTAGCTATACCTTTCCCACACATTGCTAACTATATAAAGTCTAATTTTTAACACACGAAATAACACAAACATGCTTTAAAAATTCATTTATAGCTTATCTGTACAGTATAAATGCCATCCAGATCTTGATTGAGTTCATAAACTATAAATATAGAATTATCTATATTCTTCTGTATAAAAGAAAATTATTTTCTTATATTTGTAAGTAAATGAGTGCCCATGGTGGTCAGAGGACAGCCATCGATATCATTTTTCAAAAATCATCTACCACTGTTTTGAGGAACAGTCTGTCATTGCCCTAGATCTTGTCTAGTACAATAGGTTGGTTGATCAATAAGCCCTGGCGATCCTCCTGTCTCTCTGTCTTTCCAGTGTTGGTATAACAGTACCACCACCACACCTGGATTTTTCAATGGTTTCTGGAGACTGAACTCAAGTATTTTGAAAGTACTTTATCAACAGACCAGCCCAAGAAAAATCATTCTTGACTTGCTTCTGCATGAAAGTCTGGCCTTTCTTTCATTTATAAATATGAGGGTACTGGTGAACGGTATCTGTTGGGTGACTATTTGTAAGCACTTCTACCAGCTAGTTAGTTTGGGCTGACAGATTAACTGCTGTTACTTATTTCATTCCCAGAAACTCCTGGAAGATCCAAACAAGCTGAGCACTTTTTGTGAACTATGTTAGGTATCAGACACTGACTGCCCACACTCAGTAGGAGGCCCAACAGTGAATATTAAAGATTAATGAGATTTTCAGAAGTCTGTTCAACTATATGGTATTTTCTTTAGGAATGTAACACTGACGTTATAACAACATAATAGAAGTATGAGCAATGTAAAATTGTCAGCTTAATAGTTCCCCAGAACTAAATAACGTATAAAAGACAAAAATCCATTTATCTTTTTGTTTGAGGTTGAATTATACCTAGTATTTTAAATATATTAAATATCATTCATCATGACAACAGTGATTTCCATGGCCATCTCTTTCCTTTTGTAAGAAGGGTTTCTATGTAGACATAGCTTATCAATAGGAACCAGAGTCATTTACGTAGATGCGGGGACACACATTGACCTTCAGATGCTGGGTGGAGGAAGTATCTCATAAGCACACTCTATGAAAACAAACCTAACGACTAGAAGACCAGAGTGGGTCTCTGACAGAGGTCTAAGACCAAGGAACAAGTGGGGCTACCACACTGATGGAACTAAACTACTAAATTTACCATTGAGTTATAAAACTCATGGAGCTGAAAATTTCAAACATAAATACAGGTATTACTATATAATAATAAAACTGATCTAAGTAAATCTCTAAACCACATCTAGTTGCTGAGCACTTTACTGTCTTGGGGTCAGGGAGAGTCCAACACAAATTCAGACGTTACATTAGATCATGTTAGTCTCTTTCTAATTCTAGATTTCATGATTCCATTTATGCTAACGTGTCTTTGAAGATATACATCTAGGGATTGGAGAGATGGCTCAGGGGTGGACAGTACTTGCTATTCTTGCAGAGGACTCAGGCTCAGTTCCCAGAATCCACATATGGCTGCTCAAAACCATCTGTAATTCCAGTTCTAGAAGATCTGATGCCCTCTTCTGGTCTTTTGGCACCAGGCACACATGTGTCGTACATACATACAGGTAAGCAAAACACTCATACACAAAACAATAAAAATAAATTTAAAAAATTTAAAAAGCCTGCATCTAAATAACAAAGATGCCCTTCAACAATAGAAAAACACAGTATTTGCTTTAGATTTAATTTATTTTAAAAGCACCTACATCTATGGAATACTATTACTTAAAATGCAAGCCATTCATCCATTTCCCTGTGTCTTCTTTCATTATTATCATGGGAATACTAATTAAGAAAAACAGCTAACGAAACAGCCCCATCATGAGCCACAAACGAAACTCTCATTACCTTAGAGTCAGAGCACCCTCTACCTCCTTTCCTACTTCAACATACTATTTCTTGTAAGCCAAACAAAACAAAACAATGTGCCTCTGTAGAGTTCTGAGCTAGACAGCAAATACCTTTGCAGCTGCAGGAAAAAAAGCAAGTTTTAGCTCTTTTTTCCCTCTAACTCTTTGGTGTCAAAGTTAAAAGTTGTAACATTATTAATACATGTCTGACTTCCTTCAGGAAGGAATCATCTGCAAAAGTACGTTGTCTTATTTTACGTTCTTTTATTATTCGGTTAGAAAACTTGTTGCTCATTATGCAAATCTCAGGGGGGGGAGCGGAGGAAACAAAGCTCAACAAACAACAAAATCAAGTGGCTGTGCCCTGTTGAGGATGCCAGGCTTTTTGTCGCTCTACTTGAAAGTAATGTGACTTGTCTGTGAAGAGTGCAGCTTCAGCAGTTCCAAATGAATCACAAGCCTGTGCTCCATATTTTCTCTTTTGTAAGTTTAATGTATTCAAGCAACACTGAACTGACAATTTAAATAACTACATTTTTAAACAAACGAAGCATTGATGTTAATGTATGAAAATGGTCCAAACCCCTGGGAGTCTTGGTTCCCACCATTGTTTATTCTGACAACAGGATATAATTGCTTACTTACTTGGCAGCAAATTTAACCATCTGCTTGCTCGCATGGTCTCCCACAGCCACAAGAGCCTGGACATTAAACTGCTGCTGCCTCAGGACTAAGAAGCACTGCTTCCCTGCAGGAGACACAAAGAATATGGGACATTAGGAACATATTATTTCAGGTTTTACAAAGGAAAAAGCTTCTCTACTTTAAAATTAGGTCAAAATTTAAATACTCATCAGGTATATGCACGTGTTATTTATCAGCTTCTACAGCCAAAATACCCACACTTACCTGACAAGCTTTAACACCAGTTCCTATGAATAATAAAAAATGCATCTGACAGGTTTCTTTTGAGAACATAGGTAAATTACCAATTTACACAGAGAGATACATAAATCTAGAAGATTATTTTGTAACACTGAACAATTACAAGTTGTTTCAGATGACTTTCACCAATCAACAAATAGCTCCTATATCCTACTGGCATAGACCCTGAGCTAACCACCACGGGAGCTTCAATCATGCAATCACAAGTGCTAAAAAAGTGTTTACGAGTCAGACTACAAGTGCTCTTTGGTGGTGGTCCATCCACAGAGTTCTTCCTACCAAAGAACATTTTACAGAGCACATAGACTAACAGGCTAGGTCCTTTCACATTCCATTTTCCCAGTTCCTTCTCCTCTGTGATAGTCACACATTTTAAAACTTTAAGCAATTTTAGTTTTTTCAATAAAACACCATTTTTTAAAAGTCCTATAACTAGTTTTATTTTCACATCTTGTGGGTCTCTTGCTCCCCGTTCTTTTTTTTTTATAGTTTATTTTTATTTATTTATTTATTTATTTATTATGTATACAATATTCTGTCTGTGTGTATGTCTGCAGGCCAGAAGAGGGCACCAGACCTCCTTACAGATGGTTGTGAGCCACCATGTGGTTGCTGGGAATTGAACTCAGCACCTTTGGAGGAGCAGGCAATTTTCTTAACCACTGAGCCATCTCTCCAGCCCAGCTCCCCGTTCTTTTAAAGAGAGCTATCATTTCTTACTCTTAACCTGAAAAGTATTACTATACACCCTTGTGCCATACATCCCTCTCCCTCCAAAGCAAGTCATTTTAAGTCTCTGATCAAATTCTAGAAACCCACTTCCTTATAAAAATGAATTAATCTTTCCAAGACCACTTTTCTCATCAGATTTTCTTATGAAACATCACAAGCCTATGGTTTTTCATTATTCTATTATGTTAAATGTTAGCTTGCCAAAAAAACAAACAAAAAAAGGAAGCAGATAGCTACTATTTTCATCACACAGTATTTTAAAATGTGTACCAGAGTACAACCACAAATTTTAAAAAGACAGGTTAGTCAGGCATGGTGGTACACACCTTTGATCCTAGCACCTTGGAGGCAGAGGCAGGTGGATCTCTGTAACTTTGAGGCCAACCTGGTCTACATCGCTACAAAAGAAAAATAAATAAAAAATTAAAAAAAATTAAAAGGCAGGTTAAAGGAAAAGTCAAAAGAGCTATAATCTATTGGTTCTGCAGTCACATAATCAACAGATTTTTCTCACAAAAAAAGATATTACTTTCCTGTTTTACAGTATGATTCAGATACATGTTAAAACTAAACAAATTCAAAGGCATTTTAAGGTACTGGATAATAAAAATTACCCCTGAAACTTGCACATCATCAAAACAACATTATCTAAGTATACTACTACAGAACCCATAGCTGGATTTTGTCCCACTTAGAACACAATGCAGCAAGAAATGGAAGGTGTGCTTATATAACCCAGGGCAGGCTGAGAGGAAACAGTATTTTAGCTGCTGAAGTGGTTCAGACAGAAGCAGCTCAGTCCTCCCTGCATTACAAAGTTAGCCAGCAATAAAATAGCTCTAAAACAGCACAAAGACCCTTAATAAATGGAGTTCTGAGGGGCGTACAAAGGGTCAGTACTAAGGATTAACAGTCCACCTAATGATTTGGTTGAATAATGATTTCAAAACCTGTTGTTTCATTTATTTGGTTGGATGGATTTTTCGAGATAGGGTTTCTCTGTGCAGCCCTGGCTGTCCTGGAACTCACTCTCTGGACCAGGGATGAGTCTGGGATTAAAGGTGTGGGTTACCAGCTCCCGGGAAAAATTTGAAATCTGAAGGTCAAGGTTCATATCCTATTGCTTCTACAAAGTGGTCTCAGAAAAACTATTAAATGACTGTAGGTCTCTGTTCTTCATCTGCAAAATGGAGACTAGCACACTTCTCGAAGGTTTAGTTTTCTTTAATAATTTGAGGAATACATATTTAAAGTCAAGGCAGAGTCCCTTAACATTAACCACTAATTTTTTACTGTTAACAACATTTCTAATATTGGTATCTTATTTGAGGACTGCATCATTCCTATTTTGCAGATGGATAACCATGTACAACTTATACTGGATGCTGAGAATATGAAGATAAATATTCAGAAGACATTTTCATGAAAAGTGATCACAAAAAAAACCCCACAAAACCCAAACAAGGTCGGGTGGTGGTTGCGCATGTCTTTAATCACAGCACTCGGAAAGCAGAGGCAGACAGATCTCTGTGAGTTTGAGGCCGGCCTGATCTACAAGGACAAGCACCAAAGCTACACAGAGAAACACTGTCTCAAAAAACAAAAAACAAAAAAGTATAGTAAGACTGATTGTATAGGGGAAAAAACTACACCAAAATGTGGTTAGTAACAACTGATGAAATTACAGGAATTCTGCTCTTCCTATCTTTCTATAGGCTGGGCATGCTGGTACACACCTTTAATCTCTGCACCCTGCCCTGTGAAGTTAAGCCAACTTTATCTACATAACGATTTTCAGGACAGTCAGGAACACATAGAGAAACTTTCAGAAACAAAAGAACCACTATAACACATACAAACACACCAAAAACCCTTTCAATAGTAAACAAAATCTTTCCTAACTAGAAAGGTTTTTTTAAAAATATGTATATGGTACATGCGCTTGTGTACTTGCCTACATAGACACACGTATGAGGCCAGAGGTTGATGATGTCACGATGCCTTTCCTCAATAGCACCCTCTCCAACACCGCCCCGTCATGGTATGCACACTGAAGTCAGAAGACAACCTGTAAGAGTTGGTTTCCTACTTTGATCATGTGGAGTCCCAGGAAAAAACTGAGGTTGTCAGGCTCGGTGGCAAGCACCCTCACCCACTAAGTCATCTTGCTGGCCCTCCATCTTTTATTTTTGAGACAGTCTCTGAACCTGAAGTTTGCTGTTTTGACTACTGTCCAGCAAGCCTGGAAAAACCCACCTGTCTTCACCTTCCTCACCTCAGTGATGGGGTTACAGATGTATGCCAGGGTCTGGCTTTTAAAGGCAGTTCTATGGAGCTGAACTCAGGGCCCTGTGTTTAGGTAGTAGGCAGTTTATACACTGAGTAGGTCAGAAAAAAGACAACAACAACAAATTTTTAAAAATATCACACAATCATAGACAAGGCACAGAAGGAAAGTCAGGGCTAATAATAAAACTGAACACATTCAAAATGCCACCCTTGGGGGACTGGGGGTTGCATTCAACATACAGAGTAAGGAAACTATGGAATTTAACACAGAAGGAAACATGCATCCCAAGATCTGACACATCTACTATTGAAAAGAAATCACGAAGGACAAAGTGTATTTTTTAAAAAAAATATTCCTTAATTTATTAGACACAATCCTAAAAAGTAAGCCTCTACTACAAAAACAAACAGGCCACAGACCTGTGATGTGGGATTCCCCTATGTACGCTGTGAATACTATTGGTTAATAAAGAAACTGTCTTGGCCTATGATAGGGCAAAAGAGTAGAGCTAGGCAGAGAAAACTAAACTGAATGCTGGGAGAAGGAAGGCAGAGTTTAGAGACATCATGTAGTCTCCAGAGGGGAAAGATGCGAGCTGCCAGCTGGGGCCCACGAGTCTTGTAGTAAAATATAAAATATTGGGAATGCATTAATCCTAGATGTAAGAGCTAGCTAGCAATACACTTAAGTGATTGGCCAAGCAGTGATTTAATTAATATAGTTTCTGTGTGATTATTTTGGGAGTCTGGGAGGCCGGGAAACAAACAAGTGGCCTCCTACTACAGACCTGAAAGAAGGTGGTGAGAGTTGTCTCTAAGCACACTCTGTTCTAATCCTAGAGTACACCAGCACAGAAGCTGCCACATTTGTAGAGCCTAAGAAGTAAGAATGGGGTTACAGAGAGACTCTAAGTGGAATCTAGTCAAGGGAGAATTAACTGAATAAAGCTGGGTGTGGTGGTACACACCAATGAATCCCAGAACTCTGAAAGTGAACAAGATAACCCACAGTCAAGGTCAAGGACACCCTGGGCTACAGAAGAACATCTCCAAAACCACACAAAACCCCAGACAATCAAAAACCCAAAACAACAACAAAAAAATCAGGGCAAAGAACCTCACTGGCAGAGCATGCTCAGGACCCAGTGTGCTCCAAAAAGAAAACCAGTAAACAATGGAAGTACTAAATAATACAACAAAGGAAAAACTACCCTTAAATCAATAGAACGGGCTGGAGACAGCTCAGTGGTTAAGATTCCCTAGCTGATTTCCCAAAGAATACAAGTTTGAGCCCCACCACCCATGTGGCAGCTCAAAATCACATTTAACTCCAGTTCTAGGGGACCTGAACAACAGTTAAGAGGGTTACTATATAAAGTTCTTAAGGATTTATGAGATAAGAACATTGAAATCCTCCCCATCAAAAAGCCAGGTAATAATTAAAAATAGGTAACATGAAAGAAAAAGAGAATAAATATAAGGAACAAGATGTTACTTGTTATGAGCATAAGAGTAACGGAAGTTGAAGCAAATGATGGCAACACATTATTTACTTCTCACATGAGACAATTTTTTTTAAACATTTCTTATAGTTTATTTAACTTTTTTTATTTTATGTGCATTGGTATGAAGGTGTCAGATCCCCTGGAACTGGATCTTCAGACAGTTGTGAGCTGCCATGTGGGTGCTGGGAGTTGAACCCTGGTCCCCCGGAAGAGGAGTCAGTGCTCTTAACCACTGAGCCATCTCTCCAGCCCCGAGACAATTTTTTAAAAAAAGAAT